ATTTTTTCAGGATTTTTCCTGATTTTTTTACAGATTTTTTCATCAATTTTTTCCCCCCTATTTTTTTCCTGATTTTTCCTTAATTTTTTTCCAATTTTTTTTGCAGATTTTTTTCATTTTTTCCGCAATTTTTTCTCTTTTTTTTCCTGATTTTTTTCCAGGATTTTTTTCAGATTTTTTCCCAGTTCTATCCCAAATTTTTTCCCAAATTCCCCCATATTTTTCTCATTTTTTCCCAATTTTTTCCCCTTTTTTCCCCCATTTTTTTCCTGATTTTTCCCTCATTTTTTCCAATTTTTTTTGTGGATTTTTTCCCATTTTTTCCCAAATTTTCCCCTTTTCTCCCCATTTTTTCCCATCTTTTTCCTGATTTTTCCTCATTTTTTCCAATTTTTTTCCCAATCTCTTCCTCATTCCCGCTTTTCCCGCCAAATCCCCCATTTTCCCGCCAAATCCTCTCCACATTTTTCCCGCCAAATTCCCTCCATTTTTCCCGCCAAATCCTCTCCGCATTTTTCCCGCCAAATTCCCCCCATTTTTCCCGCCAAAACCCCACCTCAATCCCGCTTTTCCCACAAAATCCTCCCCCATTTTCCCGCCAAATCCCCTCATTTTCCCGCCAAATCCTTGGTCATTCCCACTTTTTCCTCCAAATCTTCCACATTTTCCCCGCCAAATCCACCCCATTTTCCCGCCAAATCCCCCCCCATTTTCCCGCCAAATCCCCTCATTTTCCCGCCAAATCCTCTCCACATTTTTCCCGCCAAATCCCCCCCATTTTTCCGCCAAAACCCCACCTCAATCCCGCTTTTCCCACAATATCTCCCCCCATTTTCCCGCCAAATCCCCTCATTTTCCCGCCAAATCCTCTCCACATTTTTCCCGCCAAATCCCCCCCATTTTTCCGCCAAAACCCCACCTCAATCCCGCTTTTCCCACAATATCTCCCCCCATTTTCCCGCCAAATCCCCTCATTTTCCCGCCAAATCCTCTCCACATTTTTCCCGCCAAAACCCCACCTTCATCCCCCTTTTCCTGCCAAATCCCCCCCATTTTCTCGCCAAATCCTCCACACTTTTCCCGCCAAATCCCCATTTCATTCACGCTTTTCCTGCCAAATCCCCCCGTTTTCCCACCAAATCTTCCACATTTTTCCCACCAAATTCTTCCATTTTCCCGCCAAACCCCCCTCATTTTCCCGCCAAAATCTCACCTTCATCCGGCTGTTCCCACAAAATCCTCCACCTTTTTCCCGCCAAATCCCCATTTTTCCCGCCAAAACCGCACCTCAATCCCAGTTTTCCCACAAAATCCTCCACATTCTTCCCTCCAAATCCACCCCATTTTCCCGCCAAATCCTCTCCACATTTTTCCCGCCAAATTCCCCCCATTTTTCCCGCCAAATCCCCCCCCTTTTTCCCCCACACCCCCCCCCCCTTCT